AAAGAGCTTTGATCCGTGTCTGTGTCAGTCAGCTGTCCCGCCTCCCAGTGGTTCTGACAGAATTGCCCCTGCAAGAAGGGAGGCGAAACAGGATGATTTATTATTATTATTATTATTATTATTATTGAGACAGGGTATCACTGTGTAGCCCTGACTAGTGTGGAACTAGCTACGTGAACTAGGCTGGCCTTGAACCCAGAGACTGGCCAGACAAAGAAACAGGCCCAGTGAAACTAAATTTTCATCAGGGAGTGAGCCAATTAGAAGAGTGACGATTAACCTCAAGTCTCACTTCAGGGCTAACTACACCTGGTGTTTCACGTCCATGGTTTCACCAAAGGAGCTGGAACATTCACTAAACAAACATGACAGATCCCTGTATATGAAACACTTTCTGCACCCCCAAGTCAGAAGCAGCTAAGAGCCATAGGAAAGCCTGTGTGCCAGGTGGTGTGGTCATTAGCCATTCTAGAACAACTAGTTTAGCAGGTGAAGATTGGGGAATGCTAGCTGTAGAGGGCTGCTTCTTCCCATCCCAACCCAAACCCACAGGGCAATGGCCAGGTCATGTTCCAGTTCTCTGGGGGTTATGCCACAGTGGCCATCCAATCCCTCCCTGACCAGGGCCAGTTTGCACCTGTATAAGCTCCCTGAGCTCTTCCATGGCACTCTCCTCCAGCTCCCTGATCTGAGTCATGGCTTCATTAAAGCTGGACGTCTGGGAAGAGAGCTCATCCTCTTCTTTGGAGAGCTGAAGGCCAAAAGGGAAGACAACAGTGTAAAGATTGTGACCCAATATCCACCTCAAAGGCGTGCCATTTTCATCTTGCCCTCCCACCTTACATTGCCTGCCACTGAGGTCTCATTAGAGCAGGCTTCCATTTCCTCTGTTTCCATTTGAAGTGGCTGTTCTCCACTGGGCTGGCTGTTGGGGCTCAGTTCCTTGACTCTGAGGAAATAGGAAGATCTCAAATCTCCCAGCAGCCCCCTTGGCGCTCACCACAGGAATGCACCACCACTCAGACAAGGCTTGGGAAGTCAGGGGGTAAGAGGTAGCTAGCCTTCAGCCAAGAAGTGGCATAAACCTCAAGCTGAACTGGACTGTTACCGAAGGAGACTGGGACGACCCAGCAGATTACTGCTCACAGAGGAGTATCAGCGGTATAGGACCCTCTAGCCTCCTCCCATCTCACCACTCCATGCCCTTCTCCTTTCCACCTGGCTGTAGGCACTCATACCTGTCTGCATATCGTAGCGTGTTTAAAGTATATTCACAGGAGCTTATGCCCGGTGAGATCATGGCAATCTGTGAGAGAGGGAATGGCGGTTAGGGCTGAGTATCACAGGGTGAAGGCACAGCGAGTCTAAACTAAGGCACCTTTAAAAAGTGGCTTCACGGGGCCAGAAGGTGGCAGGTAAAATCACTTGTTGCCAAGCCTGACAACATGAGTTCAGCCATTTCTAGAACCCACGTGGAAGGAGAAATTCCAAGTTGTCTTCCGCCCTGCATACAAACACCATGCTATATGCATGTGTGTGCATCAAAAACAAAACACAATATAAAAAAGTATTTTAGGGGCTGGGCATGGTGACACAGGCCTTTAATTCCAGCACTCTGGAGACAGAGGCAGGTGGAGCTCTAGGAGATCAAGGTCATCCTGGTCTTCATAGCAAGCAAGTTCCAGGCTAACTGGGGCTACAGGGAGATCCTGTATCAAGAAAAAAACTTATATTTAAAAAAAAAACAAAACACTTGGCTTCAGGGACTGGGGATGGACCTGAGTTATAGAGTGCCTGTCTAGTGTGCTCTGTGAAGACCTGGATTCAATCCATAACACCAAAACCTGGTGTGGTGGCAAATGCCTATGATCCCATCAATTGGGAGGTAGAGACAGGAAGATCAGAAGTACAGTCATGCTTGGCTACATAGCAAGTTTGAGGCCAGCCTTGGGATACATGAGGCCTGTCTCACAAATGAAAAAAAAAGGGGGTGGGGTGGGTTGTGGAACACTCTCTGAGGTGGGTGTGGTAGAGCACAGCTATAATCCCAGAACTCAGGATCACCATGAATTTGAAGATAGCCTGGGCTACGTAGCAAGACAATGTTCCCTGTCTGTGTTCCTGTACTGCCAGGCTGGACTTGAATGATGTCCCAGCTTCTACCTGCCAAGTAGTTGAGACCCTAGGTGGGCTACAAAGCCTGGCTAGGTTCCCTGCTTTTAAAGACAGATCTAATTATCATCTGCCTCTTTATTCCCTCTACCAAAGTCACATCTCAGAGATTCTTGGCTCCTGCTTAGATCACTCAGGCCATGGGATGATGCCTCAGAGAGAAGAGTTTAGAGCTTAGAGGGCTGGGGCATAACTCAGGAGTAGACTGCTTGGCTGGTACATATGAAGCTCTGGGTTCAATCCTCAATGCTGCCAGAGAGAGAAAGGAAAAAAGCAAGTAGTAGCAGTAATACTACTGATAGAACTTAGAGCCATCCTTCCTCATGAAAGGGCCCCTTACTCATAGTGAAGAGGTGAGCTATGTTCTCGACAGTGGTAGACCTTACTTGGCAGAACCTGTAGATCAAGTAGGGAAGGAGATGAGGAGTCATTAGAGCCTAGAGCCTCATGCTCCAGCCTATTTGCCAGCATGGGACCAAAGGAACTTTAGGGAAGCCATGGAAGAGAACTTTGCTCTCTTGCTTCTGCTAAGGTTCACTCCTCGATTCTGAACTCCTTTATTAAACAGGTAAGGCAGTAATGAGCTAAAAACAAGAGCTATACCTACACACAGAATGGATTCTTTTCCACTGTGGTGGCTGCAGGGTGTGGGCACCCGGTTAAGAGGCTGGGAAGGCAGGGCAGCCCAGAGGTGTTGGCCAGGGTCAGGAGTAAATGTTTCTTGGAAAGCAGCTCTGGGTCCTCTGCACCATCACCTCCAAAGTCATTCTACTCACCATGCAAGTCCTTGAATTTTCTCCGATAAAGGAGTCCCTCAGCACCTGTGTGAGCTTGCTCTCACGGAATGGAGTATGAGCCTTGTTTTGTCCCAGGGCCCGGATGCACTCCTGTGGAGCAGCAGAAACCATTGGAAGCCTCTTTCCTCTTACGCTGCCTATTCCCTCCCTTCCCAGCTGTCTTCCAGGCCACCTTTAGCTAGTCTGCTACCTTCAGAGCCAGGAGACTTTTGTTGATTTCTGCACCCTCCATGCGAGTCTGCCGGTCAGCACTGGAGGTGTCTGCCCCTCGTTCATTCCCTGCCAAATCCACCAAGGAAAATTTGCCATATAATCTCCCTTTGGCTCGAAGAAGAATCTGGAAGCAGGCATGGGAGCGGGAGGAATTGGAGTTGGCAAATGTTTGTCCAGAGGTCCTGTTGCAAAGGAGTAGAGAGGCAAAGAAAGGGTCATGAATTTCTGGTACTTCCAGGGCATCCCAGTGTTTACACCATCCCAGTGCATAGCAGTAAAGTCTATGGTAAAGGAGGGACATAGATCAGGATTCTAAGAAGTCTTCCCATCTCTAATTGTTATTCTGCCCTCCAAGAGACCAGCTCTTGCCCTAATATTTTTCGGGCAGCCACAACAGTACTGGATTCTGTGCTAGGACCTTAGCCAGACCAGGGGAGTACATAAAAACAGGGAGGATGAGTTGACTCTACCACAAGGGAAGTGGCCTAGTCATAAGCCAGTTGTCCAAACTTGAAGGCACTTGCTGAGGATGGAGCAAAATGGTAGAGCACTTGTCTACCTAATGTAAGGCTCTGGGTTAATGCCTACAGTACTGAAAAAAACAATTCAAGGGTCCTAAGAGAGCAGCCTGTCCCTAGGTCCGATAATTTCCTAGCACCTCATTGCCACATGTCAGCACTTCCCTACTGCACAGGGACGCTATGGTCTCCTAACTTCTGGCTCAGAACAGATCAAAGACCCCTAAGCTCTACCATAAAGAGAAGGAAAACAAGGAGAATCTCACAGATGCCAAGAAAGCATGCCTGTGAACTAAAGCCTGCCTTTCTTAGATTTAAGCTGCTTTGACTTTGTTCTGAAAAGCCTCTGGCCCTGGGTTATCTGTCCCAGTGAGTCCCTAAAAGAGGCCTCCATAGCTCTTACCCAGCTGGGGGAAGTAGAACTATGTGGAAAAGAAATTGCCTCCTCCCACTCCCATGCTGCTTCTGGACCAGTGGCCTCAGGACCTACACTAGGTATTACAAGTAGTCCCTTCCCCTTGCTGGAATGCTGACCTGCAGGCGCTGCCCATGTTGATCATCTTGATGACATCCTCAGCAGAGTTAACCAGGTGCTCCTGTAGTCCCACCACCTGTACCTGTTGCTTGCTGTCTTCCAGGACACGCAACTTGGCCTTCTTGTTGAGCAGATCAAATAGCTGCACCAGGCAGAGGGAATAAGCCTAAGGTCATAGTGCTGGGTACCCTGCCTGACTCTTCTTTCCTACAGAGCCTGTCCCAGATTGGACAAGGGCCAGGAGAGGCAGAGAGAATATGAGCTGATAAACAGACTAGTGGAGGGCACTCACTATACTTGGGATCTGAACCAGTTTGCCTTGGCTTCCTTCAACTGTTATTTTATTTGTACGAACCTGAGCACATTATTGAAGCACTCTAGCTAGCTATTTCCATTTTGTAAAGACAAGACAAATCTGGAGCTGGAGACATGGCTCAGCGCTTAAGAGCACTGGCTGTTCCTGCAGAAGACCCCAGTTCAAATCCCAGCACCCACATGGCAGCTAATAACCATCCCTAACTCCAGTTCCAGGGATCTGACGGCCTCTTCTGTCCACCATGGGCACTGCACAACATGGGTGAACTTACATGCATGCAATACACACATCACACAAAATAAAAAGGACAAGACAAATCAAAAGCTTAAAATAGTGCTTGGCATATAATAGTCCATCAACGATAAATACTGTATTTGTTATTGCAGTCTTGCTCCAGGGAAAGCAGTTCTACAGAAGAGCAGAGAACAGAGGGAGGGAGGGAAGGAGGGAGGGAGGAGATGGGCCTGGAGGATGTGCACAGGAGAACATGCCCAATCAGGCAGAAGGACATCAATGTGGGTTAATGGACGAGAGGTGACTCAGCAGACTTCCACCTGAGAGGGAGCCCGGAGGTAGATAGATCGCTGCTCTTCTTAAGCTTGGGTGTCACCTCACGTCAAAGGGAACCTCTCAACACACCAAGCAAGGTAGCCCCAAAGGCCTACAGCTAACAGGATGTTTGGCTTCTAACTTCGGCCAACTTGAAAGGTTTTGAAAGTCAGGAACTCCAAATGCATAAGACAAGGGCTACAGCTAACAGGATGTTTGGCTTCTAACTTCGGCCAACTTTAAAGGTTTTGAAAGTCAGGAACCCCAAATGCATAAGCCAAGGGCACAACAGTTTACCTTTCCATTGTAGATCTCAAAGAACGTCACATAAACTTCTAGGTCTAAGTTCCGGTAGCGAGACTGGTTCTTCAGGAGGAAGACATCCCGGGCTGAGAGGGAGAGTCTGTATAAGCAACTTGCTTTCCATGCCCAATCCCGATGTAAACATTTACTCACATGCCATTGCATAGATCCCTTTGGATGCATTCTGAGCTTTGCCAGACAGGTCTCCACCCATTGTCTGCCAAAGAAAACAGGACATGAGCATGGTGACCTATACCAGAGGAAAAAGGCCACACCAGAGGAAAGAGGCTGGACCTGCTACAGCCCCTCTCTACACCTGGCATGGTGAGTGTCTGGTGATGGGGCATCTGTACCAAGGGGACTCTCTTCCTTCTCAAGAGCTTACTGTTGCACTGTAAGCAAGGGCTCTCTCCTCCACATTTAAATACTCACATGTGTCTTGCCACTTCCTGTCTGCCCATAGGCAAAACATGTTGCTTTTCCCCCTTCAAAAATCATCTGTACCAGTGGCCTTGCTGTGAACCTAGGACAAAGGATGGAGTAGAGGGAAGTGGGTTTGTATAGCTATCCAAGGTATTGAAGAGGGATTGGTTATAGGACTCCTTCACTGATGATATCCATCCTAAGTAGATGTTCACATCACATTTTAAAGAAACCTTTATTTTTAATTATGATATGTATGTGCACATTTGAGTGCAGTGCCCACAGAGACAGATGTGCTGGATAGCTTCAGGTGTCAACTTGACACATGGGTAAAAGGAACCTCAACAGGGGAATTTTTCCATTAGATTGGCCTGTGGCCATGTCTGTGGGGTGTTTTCTTGATTGAATGATGTATGGGGCCCAGGCCACTGTGGGTGGTACCACCTCTGGGCAGTGGTTCTGTGTAAGTGCGGATCTCTGAGTTTGAGGCTAGCCTGGTCTCCACAGTGAATCCAGGACAGCTGGGACTACAGGGAGACCCTGTCTCAAAAAGACCGAAAAACTACTAAGAAAAAGTAGTTAAGGATGGGCATGGTGGTGCATACCTTTAGTCCCAGCTCTTGGGAGGCAGAGGTAAGCAGATCTCTGTGAGTTCAAGGCCAGCCTGGTTTACATAGCGAGTTCAGGTCAGCTCGGACTACAGGGAGACCCTGTCTCAAAAAAAAAAAAAGAAAGCAGGCTGAGCACCACTCCTCCATGGTCTGTACTTCGGTTCCTGCCCTGAGCTCCTGCCCTGCTTCCTCTCAATGATGAACTATAAAGCTGAAGGTGAAATAAACCCTTTCTTCCCCAAGCTGGTATTGGTCAGTGTTTATCACAGCAATAGAAAGTAAGAGGACAGAAGAGGGCAACAGATCCCCTGGAGCTGGCATTACAGGTGGTTGTGAGATGCCATGTGGGTGTTGGGAACCAAAGTCAGGTCTTCTGGAAGAGCAGCAAGTGCTCTTAACCACAGATCCGTCCCTCCAGTTCCCAAGTCGAGTATTCTTTTTTGTGCTAGGGATGGAATTCAGGGCCTAGCACATGCTAGGTAAGCACTCTACCACTAAGTCATTCCTCTAGCCCCCAGGTCGCTTATATAAAATAGCATACTTACAAACAAGGACAGGAGAGATGGCTCAGTGGTTAACTGCACTGACTGGTCTGGAGAGGACCCAAGTTTAGTTCCCAACACCCACATGGTGGCTAATAACATTTAACTCCAGTTCCAGGACATCTGGTCTCTATGGACCCTGCTTGCATGTGGTGCACATATATACACGCAGACACAACACTCATACATGTAAAATAAAAAGAAATCCTGCTGGGCGTAGTGGCCCCCACCTTTAACTCCCACACTTGGGAGGCAGAGGTAGGTGGATCTCTGTGGCCTCTATAGTGAGTTCGAGGCCAGCTGGGGCTACAGGGAGACCCTGTCTCAAAAAGACCCCCAAAAAAGTTGCAAATAATCTACATATATTGCCTCATGATGTCTAGATTTATACATCTAATACACTGTAAGTACACTGTAGTTGTTATCCTGTACTTTTAAGAAAATGGAAAAAAATGTCTGAATATGTTCAGTACATATAATCTTTTTCCTTTCCGGAATATATTTTAAGTTTTTTGGTTTGGTTTTGATTGAGACAGGGCCTTACTGTAGCCTGGCTGCCATGGAACTCATTATGTAGAAGACCAAGTTGGCCTCAAACTCAGAGATCCATCTGCCTCTGCCTCCAGAGTGCTACAATTTGCCACCTTGTCTGGCTATATTTTACTTTTTAAATTACATGTATTTACATGTGCATGTAGGGGGCTATAGTATGCATGTGGAAGTCAGAACAACTTGTGGGAGTCAGTTTTCTCCTTCTACATATGGGTTCTAGGGCTCAAACTCAGGTCTTCAGGCTTGGCAGCAAGTGCCTTTACCCTCTGAGCATCTTGCCAGCCAATTTTTGGGAATATTTTCCATCTGTGGTTGAATCCATAGGAACGCAAGAATATGGAGAGCAAACTACCTGTTCCTAAAATGTGTTCCCTAGAACACAGTCCTAATCCTGAGCCCTCAGTGTCCCTGATTCCTTACAACACTCCGCTCAAGCCTCTGGTCTGCCCTGATCTCAACCCCATACACAAATCTGAACTATTACCTAAATGGAAGGTGGTAGGCAGAGTGTTGGACTGGTCTGCCAGGAGCAAGCTGGTGGCCCATACGTTAAGCCATACAGCCCCTTCTCTGTTCCTGCAGATATAAAGTATAGGATGTATTACAAAGAGCTGAGGAGACCCAGACCTAAAATATTTTGTTAGACCCTAGTTAGGTTCTCACACTGTAGGCTGGCCTTAAGTTCAGAAACACTCTGTCTCAGTCTTCAAAGTACTGGGAGTAGAGGCATGAGGGCACCAAGTCTGGGTTCTTTTTCTTTTGAGACAGGATTTTGTTATGCTGCACCAGCTGGCCTCAAATTTAAAATCCTTCTGTACACATGCACACACACAATAATAAATGAAATTAAAAAAACTCTTTGGGGCTGTAGAGATGGCTCAGTTCAGAGCACTGTTCTTTCAGAGGACCTGGGTTCAATTCCCAGCAACCACATGGCAGCTAACAATTATCCATAATGCCAGTTCAAGGGAATGCAACACCTTCTTCTGATCTCCTTGGGCACTAAACATCATGGGTGCACTTATTTATAAACATGCAGGCAATATACTCAATACACGTAAAATAAAAATAATAATCTTTTTTTTTTTTTTTTTTTTTTTTTTTACAAATCTCTTTAAGCATGCTTGCTTTGCAAGCATTAAGACCTGAATTCTGATCCCTAGCATTCATAAAAAGCTAGGAGTGGCTGGGCCTGGTGATGCATCCCTTTAATCCAGCACTCAGGAGGCAGAGGCAGGTGGATCCCAGTGAGTTCCAGGCCAGTTGGGTCTATAGGTTAAAATAGAGAGTTCCAGGTCAGCTGGGGCTACAGGGGGATCCTGTCTCAAAACAACATACACAAAAACAAAAACCACACACACACAGCTGGGAGTGGGGCATGTGCCTGTAATCCTCGCGCTGGGGAACAAAGACAGATCCTGGGGACTCACTGGCCAGTCAGTCTCCTAAAATGGAAAGCTCTGGGTTCAATGAACAACCTGGTCTCAAAAAATAAGGTGGAGGGCCAGTACGATGGTTCAGCTGGTAAAGGTGCTTGTTGCCAAGCCTGACAACCTGAGTTCAATCTCCAAGACTCACATGGTAGAAAGAGTCAATCTAGCTGGGCGTGGTGGCACATGCCTTTAGTCCCAGCACTCAGGAGGCAGAGGCAGGCAGATTTCTGTGAGTTTAAGGCCAGCCTGGTCTACATAGCGAGTTCCAGGTCAGCTGGGGCTACGGGGAGACCATATCTACTTCTGCAAGTTGTCTGTCCTCTCACCTTCATAGGGGTGCCACAGAACATATGTATACACATGCACACCCCCTCATAAATGTATTGTAGAAACAACAACCAAAAAAAACAAAACAAAACATGGAGAGCCAGCGAGATAGTTCAGTGGGAAAGAATGTTTCCTGCCACGCCTGATAACCTGAGTTTGATCTCCAGAACCCAAATACTGAGGAGAAAATTCCTCAAGTTGTTCTCTGACCTCTACATATGCACACAGGATGGGCGCCCATATACGTACACACAAAATGAAAAATATAGTAATTTTTTTTAAAACAAGGTCAGGGCTGAAGAGATGGCTAAGCCATTATGAACAGTTATGGCTGCTCTGACAGGAGACCCAGGTTCAAATCCCAGCACCCACATGGCAGCTGACAACAGTTAATTCCAGTTCCATGGGATTTGACACCCCCTTCTGACCTCTGCTGGCACTGCATGACATAGGTGCACTTATATCCATGCAGGCCTAACACACATACAAAATAAAAAAGTTTAAAAACAAAGCAAAAAAAAGTCAAGCCAGGTGTGGTGGTGCTCACCTTTTATCCCAGCACTCAGGAGGCAGAGGTAGGCAGATCTTTGTGAGATTGAGGCTACCCAGGTCTATATAGTGAGTTCCAGGCCAGCTGGGGCTACAGGGAGACCCTGTCTCAAAAAGACAAAAAAAAAAAAAAAAAAAAAAAAAAAAAACAAGGTAGAGAGCAATATAATTAGACACCAGCAGTTTACCTCCGGCTTCCATATGCATGCAGAAGCAATTAAGCCCCCACACACGAAAAGACTGAGTTCAAAGTCGACCTGAGCTCCGTATCTGGGGCGAGGGGACAGACACCAAATGAAAAATGAAAACAAAATCACTGTGTAGCCCAGTGGTAGAGTGGTTGCCTAGCATGTGAAAGCCTTGATCCTGAGCACTCATCCCCCACCACCACAAAACACCCCAAACCCCTAAAAGCCCAAATCTTTATTTGGATTTAAATGAGGCCAGTGTGTGACATACTGCAGAACTGGAGTTACCTGAGTCTGCTAAGCCCATTATCTGCTGCAGTATCTCCTAAGATACTGACTGAAGATCTCAGCACTTGGGAGGCTGAGGCAGGATGACCACCATGGTTCAAGGCCAGCTAAGCTACAGAGGAAGTTCCAAAGTTCCAGGCCAGCCTGAGCTACAGAGTAAGACCTTGACTCAGAAAATGAAACAAAGCCTCCTGGAGACTGACCAGTCCAGTCCTAGAGTATAGAGTGTAAAACTGCACTCATGAGTGACACAAATGGGGGATGCCAAAGCTTTAAAGCTTGAACGGTGACATGGCAGGCCCCAAACTAGACCTTTCTGGTTCTAGGGGCCAGAGCTCCTAGATTGGAGGTTGAACCAATATAACATGACAGGAGAGAAAGAAGCTAAGAATTTAGCATGTTTTTGTTAGCACAATGTCTGGTTTCAGAAAGAAGGGTCTGAGCACAAGGAAGAAGGAAATAAAATGCAGTGCACTAACCTGTACACGACTTCATTCGAGGCAGTTTCATCGAAGGCAAAGTCAAAACAGAATGCCTGGTTCTCGAGATACTTTGTTAAGTCTACTTTTAACTTGGGTTCATGTACTAGGAGGAGACACTTGCTAGGAACAGAAATCACATCGATTTCTTTCTTGGCCAGTTCTGTAGAAGGAAACTATTTCAGGGGGTGCTTCCCGAACAGGGGGCCCTCCCCTCAGTCAGCTAATGCTTCTTACTGAATGGCTTACCTTGCTTATTCAGTGGGCGCTTCCTAACACAGACACAGATCCTGTGCTCTTCAATCTGCAAGAGGATGAGAAGAGAAAGCCAAAGGGACAAGGGTCAGACCAGCGGCAAAAGAAAGCTGTCCACAACCCCTCTTAGCTCCATCAAAGAACAAAGATCTGATACCAGGCCCATCCTGCCCTCTTTGCCACCCTAGGGCATAAAAAAGTCGCTCTGAATTTCTCCTACTTTTCTAACTCTGCTGTCTTCCAGATAGCCAGCTAAAGTAGGGAGGGTGGGGCACAGTTTACAAATATTAAGACTCAGCAACACACTCTGCTCCAAAGGCCAAAAACAGCAAAAGTATTTGGGAGGGCTTATCTAATCCCTAAAAGATTTTAGGATTAACTCTTCAAATGGGGGACTGTTAAGAGTAGCAAAAGCCCCATTAAAAAAAAAAGGGGTACATGAAGTTGTCAGGAAAAAGTGATGGGGAGATATGGGAGGAGCTGGAGGGGAGAGAGTGGATGTGGATTTGATCAAAACACCTTATATGCATGTATGAAATTCTCAGTAACCTTTTTTTTTAAAGTTAAAAAAAAAAAGTATTAGATTCTTATCTGAAACTTAATGCTAGTTGCAGCCAACCGAAGTATTTAAAAACAGAAAACTAAACTGGCTAGCTCAGTGGGTAAAGGCAAGCCTGACTACTTGAGATATGAGTTTGAGCTTATGAACCCTGTTGAAGGAGAGAACTGACTCCAGTAAGTTGTTCTTTGACCTCTATATTCATGCCATACATGTACAAGTATATATATATATACACACACACACAATAAATGTATTAAAAAACACCAACTTTGATGGCACACACCTGTAATCCCAACATATATCGAGGCACTGTCTTGAAAGAGTTAAAAAAAGGACTGTTAAGATGATTCAGTGGGTAAAGTCACTTGCCATCAAGCCTGATTACCCAAGTTCAATCCCTGGGACATACAAGGTAGAGAGAACAAACTCCTGCAAGTTGTCCTCTGAACTACACACACACACAAATACATATATATGTATATACAAATTTTTAAAGGGGAAAAAAGTCAGGGGCATTGGGGATATATGGTTCAATGGACAATTGTGTGCTCATATATGGAGCCTGGGTTCAATTCCCAGAAACACATGGAGGCAGGGAGAGGGAAGAAACATAATACCCCCCAGATAACTCTCCTCAAGAGTGAATGAAGGACTGTAGGAAAGATGGTGACAGAATGAGGCATGCCCTGGGCAGCTGGCCTCTGGGTGCTGAAGAGGTTGAATGCATCTGCTGAACCCTATCACAAGATGAATATTTATCTGATCACAAGCACTTCTATATTGATCTCAAAATTTGGACACAGCAAGAACAAAAATAATTACCAAAATGGCAGCACAGCTGGAGCAATGGTGGAGACAGTGACTATTGGCACAAGGACCTAGAAACACGACTCCTGACCTCTTCATTTTATTAAGAATCTTGATGCTTCTATATTGATCTCAAAATCCTGAACTCAGGACTTGGCAAGTAAGAGGAATGGTAACTGGGGAGCCAAGACAGCAAAGCCATGCAGGGTGGAACTGGGCCTGGCTGTCCATGAGCACCAGTGGGGCAAACAAAGCAGGTCTGGCTGCTCACAGGCATCAGCAGAGCAGAGCCAGCTGGAATGCCCACCCACATGTCCCAGTGGCACCCATGGTCAGTGACCATCATCATTAAATGGCTTTCAAGACCTGGTTGCAGTCTGCAACAGCATTAGGAATCTGAGAAGTCTATAGATTTTAGAAAATAAACTAGAGGACACTGGTGTAAAGCTGTCATGTGACAATGTGAAACTTCCCACCTGCCACTCAGAGAACCTTAGATTGGAAGCCTGTGAGCTACTTGCTGCCTGCTGTGAGGACCTAGCTTCTGCTTTTACCCACAGTAAAATCCTGAGGGAAGCATCATTTTAGAGAATGCCTTGGTCCACAGTGGAGTCATTGTGGCTGAGGACCAGAAACAGCCAATGTGTAACCTGCATCCAAGGGCTGTGAACTAATTTTGACGAAGAAATCCAAACATTTCTGACTGCTGAGAGACAGGAATTCCTACATGAAATGACGTTCCTATGCAGTGTGTAAGAGAAACAGAAAACAAGTGTAAAAATCCCATTCCAAGAATCCTGGGCACATCCTGGTCCAGAACAACGTACAGAGGAAAGGAAATGGGCCCTAACATTGGCACGCCTCAGTGTAAGAATTACAGATCACTGACACTCTGAGATGATTGCTCCTGCACTCAGCTCAGATGTGTTATGTAAGATAGACAGGTTTTTCATTTGCAAATAGAAGACACATGGTGGGAGGGGGGATGATGGTAGAGATGGGGGAGGAGGTCTTAATATAAACAAAATTCATTATATGAAATCCTTCAATCAATAAAATTTCTCTTAAACTTAAATAAAAGTGGGGGGCAAGCCATGCAAGGTGGTACACAGCTTAAATCCCAGCACTCAGGAGGCGAAGGCAGAGGCAGGTGGATCTCTAAGACTAGCCTGGGCTAATGAGTTCCAGGCTAGCTGGGCATACAGGGAGGCTGTCTCAGAACAAAATAAAAATAAAAAAATTGGAGGCTGGACGATGGATCAGTGGTTAAGAGCACTGGCTACTCTTGCAGAGGACTGGGATCAATGGCCAGCACCCACATGGCAGCAACAACTGTCCTTAACTCCAGTTCCAGGGGATCCAACTCCCTCTTCTGACCTCTGTGAGCATTGCACAACACGGGTGCACTTACGTACATGCAGGCAATACACTCATACACAAAATAAAAACTTTTAAAAAAAGTAAATGAAGATTGCTCCCCATGCCTTCATTCCTGCAAGGTAAGTTTTCTGTCCTTCAGTGGCCTATCTGCTCAGGGAAGCAGGGTAAAGGCATTCTGATTTACTTACGGGATCAGTCACGGTAAGTGGGTGACATTCCATAGTAGTTCGAAATTCTTTAATCATCCGGGCAAATTCCCAGTTTGGAAAGCTGCTGTCATATTCCTATTTGAGATAGGAATTAAAAAGGACAGGCGGTTAAGGTGCAATTACTCTCAGACCCAGTGATACATGGCAGCCACAACTTCATAGTTGACCAATGCCTCACCCTGGCTCTAGGTTGAGATGTCAAACACAAAGCCCCAGGGAGCAGAGGCATCAGGGGAACCTAGGAATACACCAAGGAGTGTGACTAGGGCTATCATTCCCCATCTTAGGAAGCAAAGCAGCAAAGTGGGTTCCTTAGAGCAATCAGCCCAACTAAGGAGACCAACATTGCTGTTGCCATCACTGTGCAATGCAGGCAATGGGGGGACGGAGGGGCAGCCCATCAACAGCATTGTGCCTGTGAGCATGCTATGGGTTTCCCTGCTGGACAATCAGCATCAAGCACAGCTCAGCTGACAGAGTTAAGATAGTTTCTGAATTCTATATTTTTCTCTCAGTTCTGATGAGAAGCAATTAAACTTCTTGGGTATCAGAAGTGGAGCTTCAGATTTCTAGGGCCCAGCTGCACCTCAGCTGCTCAGCTGACAGGGGTGCCTGTCCTGAAACTTACCCAAAGCTCTCAAGAGTTACCTGAGCTCGCTTTATTCTTATTTCAGAGTTCTGGGCCCTCTTCTCCTCCCGCTTGTTCTTCATTTTTTCCATTTCCTTCACAATACATGATTTTCTCCGAACTAAAGAAATAAAGAAAGTCACTTTTTACTTATCTGGGTCAATCTGATATTCTCTAGTGTTTAGCTGAATCCTGAGCCTTTCCCAGAACAGGCTTTCTCTAGTTTTTTGTTTTGTTTTGTTTTTTGTCTTTATGGGGCAGGGTCTCCCTGTAGCTCCAGCTGTCCTGGAACTCACTATGTAGACCAGGCTGGCCTTGAACTCAAAAAGATCCCTCTGCCTCTGCCTCCCAAGTGCTGGGATTAAAGGCGTGTGCCACCACGCCTCGCCCGATTTTTTTTTTTTTTTAACTATTTTTGGTCTTTTTGAGACAGGGTCTCCCTGTGGCCCCAACTGGCCTGAAACTATGTAGACCAGGCTGGCCTGGAACTCCCACAAAGCCACCTGCCTCTGCCTCCCAAGTGCTGGGATTAAAGGCGTGTGGCACCATACCCGGTTACCATTTATTTTTGTGTAGGCTTCATGTGTGGAGGTCAGGGGAAGACTTGACAGAGTCAGTTCTTCCTCCATGTGGGACTGGGGATTGAACTCAGGTTCTCAGGTTTGGTGACAAGTACCTTTTACCTGCTGAGCCATCTTGCTGATCTTTTCTAGATTGTCTGTAAACTACTACATGCAAGAAGCAACAGAACGGCTCTTGGATGGACAAATCCATGAAGTACCAAACTGGGCTAATGTGAGGTCAGAGTAATAATGACCCACTCTGGTTTAGACTCGAGCTCTCTTTAAGCCTCTGTAGTAGCCATTTTCTCCATAATCACAAAGAGGTGAGACATCCCTGCTTGATCTTCACAAGCACTCTGGGCTACTTTTCAAGACCTTAGCTGTGATCGCACCTCAACTACATCAGATGATTTCTGCCCAATCTTCTGTGTCTTATGAAAGGCTCAATCCATGGCCCCAGGATAATATACCTTCAAGGTAACAAAAGGGTTTGAACTATGGTGCCCAGGTAGGTCAGATGTTAACTATCTGTCCTGCACTAGGAGGAGAAGGGCTGACAGTTCAGCACGTCTACCTGAATTCACAGGGTTTGCAGAAGAGCTGCTCCGGATGGGATGGATTTGCTCTTCTGTCTCCTCGCTGACCATTGTCAATGGTACGTCAGTGACTACAACGCAGGAGGGCCGAGGGGGGGCAGCTGTGAGAAAACAAGAGTCACTGGAGAAGCAGGCAGGCAGAACACAGCTGTCCTGGCAAGTCACAAGCCAGGAGAAGGAAACTTGTCAAGCTCTTTGAGGATGAGTGCAGCTTGGGCTTCTCCCTTTGCCCTCAGCCTGAATTCAACCACTCTCTGGAACTCACTATGTACCCCAGGCTGGCCTTGAACTTGTAGACATCATCTTCTAGATTCCAAGTGCTGGGATTCCAAGTGGGAGCTACCCTACCCAGCTTTAAATTATTTTTAAAAATCCTACTTAAAAAAGTTAAAAAATAGAAAAAGCTAATTTATGCTATTAACAAATGTTATATGTGAGGTGTAATGTGCTTAGTAACAAAAACATCTGAGGGGGATTTTTGGGGTGCTGGTAATGCTCTGACCCCAGGGTTAGTTACATGAGTGTATTCAGTTTGTCAAAATTCATTGAACTGGCTGGGCGTGATGGCGCACGCCTTTAATCCCAGCACTTGGGAGGCAGAGGCAGGCAGATCTGTGAGTTCGAGGCCAGCCTGGTCTACATAGTTCAGGCCAACTGGGGCTACAGGCAGACCCTGTCTCAAAAAAAAAATCATTGAACTATATATGTGATAGTATGTATACTTTTCAGTATTCACTGTCTTTCAACTGAGTTTAAGACTATGAGATGATTTCCACATAAAGGAGCACATGCTGGTGGAACAGGAGTCTAAGGAGAACAGAAGAACCTTAGTGTTCCAGCACAGATACAAGTAATGAGTAAGGAACCTGCTCCAGGTCCTTCAACAGGGAACGCACACTGATTACTCACTGGGAATTGAAAATCGCTTTCGGGAGTTTATAGAGACAGGCAAGTCCACCTCCATATCATTCTCCTGCGTGGCGATGGGAACCTCTGAGACAGTGGACATACGAGTGGAGCGGCTTCGAAGACCTGAAGAGACAGGAGAAATGTTAGTGCCGCCTTATCAGGAAGGGCGAAAGCACATGGGAGGCTCTGCACAACGTGGGCTACCACCCAGCCACCAGGAAAAAGCACAGGAAAGGAAATAATAGGAAGACCAATTAATTACCAGTGTCCCCAGAATTTCTTTGTGCAGTCTGTAGATTTCTGTGCTCTGAGGGCAAAGATATCACCCATAAAAGCATCTGTCTTGGACTTGAGAAATAGCTCAGGGGGTGAGTACTTATTTAGATGTATATGGTCCTGGGTTCAATCCTGAGCACTATCACAACAAAAGGCAGGACTGGGTATAGTGGTACATGCCTTTACTCTTAGCAGTTAGGAGACGGAAGCAGAAAAAGAACAAAGAAAAAGAGTATTATGAAGTAAATATAAAAATGCCTCCTTCTCAGGCTGGGTTTTGATCCCAGCCTTCAGAAGGCAGATTTCAGTGATCTCTAAGCCAGCTGGTCTGGCTGGTCTACATAGTGAGTTCCAGGCCAACAAAGGCTACAAAGTGAAACCTTGTCTCAAAAACAAAAAAAGTCCCCTCTCAGGGAAAACTACATTAAGGCCCAGAGACATTAAATAACTTGCCTAATACCACTCAGTTAATAAGCAGGAAAGCCAGGATGTGACCCCTGGGCTGTCATTACAAATTCTGGGCTTTTCTAACTGCTGTAGGATACTCGGAGCCAGAACACATCATATTATTAGAAACGCATTGGATCATCAGCAACTCTGGTTTTCAGAAATCTTGAAGAATGGCTAAGAAACGGTTGAGTTATACCTGAATTCTTGTCAGTTTCTACAAATCCATGTGTTTTTTTCCCATAAGAGAGAAACAATTATTCATCTAGAAAATATTACAAGTCAGGTAGGTAGGTGGCTCATGCCTGTAATCCCAGCAAGTTGTAGGAAGGCTGAGGCAGTAGAATTGCCAATTCAAGGTCAGCCTTGGCTACACAGTGAGACCCTGTCTTCACTCCCCTCCTCCAAACCCCACAATTTTCCTGTTTCACAAATGATTTGTAACCCTATAATCTTGTATTTCATTCCTCTAGTGTATGCGTGTGTATGTGGGTGCGCATGAGTGTACAGGTGCACTCACCCATGCTGTGCCTGGAAAGGCCAGAGGTTGACACTGAATGTCCTCCTCCACTACTCTCCACCTCTTTTTGATAGAGTCTCTCGCTGAACTTGGAGTTCCCCATTTTGGCTGGACTGGCTAGCAAGTTAAGGATCTTCTTGCCCCTCTCTTACCAACGCTGGGGTTAAAGACATACATTGTCACATCTGGGTTTGACATGACACCCAGTCAGGTTCTTGTGCTTGCACAGCAAGCACTTTACCCACTGAGCTATTTACCCAGTTGTCATTTTCTTTTCTCTTTTCTTTTTTTTTTTTTTTTTTTTTTTTTTACTATGTTGTCCAGGCTCGCCTTGAATTCACAGAGATCCACCTACCTCTGCCTCTCTAGTGCTGGGATCAAAGGTGTACACTACCACGTCCAGTATCCTGTCATCTTTACATTTAAACTCCTATAATGACATATGCTAGAAGAGAGGAAGCAGGTGGAGGATCAGGGAGCTGGAACCATTCAAGACTTGGGAAGTTGGTCCACCCCTTTCTTGCCAGGAGAGACTAACACTAAACATCTCTGTGAACCCCTAAGTCTCTATACTCAGGCTAGAAGAGCACGCTGCTCACGATGTGCAAGAGGAAATGAACAAACCAACATAAAACTGCAAATTTGGCTGAAAGCACCAATGCATTCTTAAAAGGACAGGCATATACTGGTTGTTATTTTTAAGACAGGGTCTCTCTGTACCCCAGCTGACCTGGAATTCACTATGTAGACCAGGCTGACCTCAACCTCCCGATCTCCTGAGTGCTGGGACTAAAGGTGTGTGCCACTACACCCAGCTAGGACAAGTATATTTTAAAAGCAAGCATAATCCAAACCAAATGGGTTGCACACTTTGTGGGAAATGTGAATGCACCCAGGTCACTCACCTAGAAGATCTGTGTCGCAAGCACAGAGGGGAGAGCCCTGCTTAGCCAGGTGCTGCTCACACCATGGCTAGTGTACCATGTTCTAGTTAGGGCATCACTCTTTAAAAAAGGGCCCTGACAAGCTGTACCCAAAGAGAGCAACGTGGGGGATTGAACAGGGAACCGCCACAGGTCCCATGGCCATTAGCTTAATGATCACAGAACGTCAGATCTATCTACAAATATCTAAAGAGCTGCCAGGTACCATCTGAGCCTTCCCTGGTCAGCTCCTGAGGGGACAACCAGGGAAACTGTGTGTAGGGGCAGGTGAGGTGAGAAGGTATGATCTTTTAGACAGGATCTCACTGTAGCCCTGGCTGGCCTTGAACTCAGATCTACCTGCCTCTGCCTCCTGACTGGAGATCAAAAGCCAGCCTGAGAAGGGGGCATCTTGATATTTACTATGTAATTTTTATTTGTTTTCTGCCTCAGCCTCCTAAATGCTAGGATTATAGGTATATTGTTGTGATAGTTCTAGGGATTGAACTCAGGGCACCTTTCCCCACTTTAAACATTTACTTTAAAAAGCTGGGTGTGGTGGCACATGACGTTAATCCCAGCACTTGGGAGACTGAGGCAGGCGGATAGATCTCTGTACGACTGAGGCCAGCCTGGTCTACGTAACCAGTTCTAGGCCAGCTGGAGTTAAGGAGACCCTGTCTCAAAAAACACCAAAACCAAACAAGATTTATTTATACTATGAGCATGAGTGTTTACCTGCATGTTATATATGTGTACTATGTGTATGCCTGGTGCCCACAAAAGTTAGAAGAGGGCGTCAGATCCCTTGAAACTGGAATTCTGGAAAGTTGTAAGCCATGTCGTTCTAGGAACCAAACCTGGGTCCTCTGAAAGAGCAGCAAGTACTCTTAACCACTGAGCCATCTCTCCAGCCCATCTACTTTTGACGAACATGCATAGTCAAGGGGCTTCAAGTCTGGGGGGTATAGTTCAGCAGTTGAACAGGTGGAAGCCTTGGGTTCAACTCCCAGCAAAGCAAACAAAAAGAGCCAGGCATGGTAGCTCCCTCCTATAATTCCAGCACATGGGAGGCTGAAGCAGGACGACATAATGGGTTTGAGCCCAGCTTGGGCTACATAATGAGCTTCAAGACAACCTGAGGTAGAATGAGACTCTCTGGAGGAAAAAAAAAAACCAAACAGGGCTAGCAAGATAGCTCAGCCCCTAAGTGCTTGGCCAGATCCCATGGTGGAAGGAGAGAATGGACTCCCAAAAGTTGCCCTCTAACAACTACTGTGGCACACATACATGCACTTACACACACTTTAAACAAAAACCAGGAGCATGCCTATACAATATCCCTTGAGGACACTCAAGGGATTGGAGTCACTGCCTCTTTTGCAGGCCCTTATGGTAAAGCCATCAAGAGGACAAGCATCACATACCCAGGTCCTACTATGTGTGTGTGTGTGATATGCACATACCATGGTGCACATGTGGAGGACAGGACAATTTTGCGGAGTTGGTTCTTCCCTTCCACTTTTATGTGGGGTCTGGGGATCAAATTCAGGTTGTCAGGTTTGGGCAGCAGGTGCTTTCACCTGCTGAGCTATCCAACCAGTACCCTTAACTTTTAATTCTTTTATTTTTGGTCTTTTTTAAGACAGGGTCTCTCTGAAGCCCCAGCTGACCTGGAACTCACCATGTAGACCCAGCTGGCCTTGAATTCACAGAGAACCGCCTGCCTCTGCCTCCTGAGTGTAAGGATTAAAACCGTGTACCACTACGCCCAGCACCCTTAATATTTTTAAATTTTTTATTTATTATTGTCTACATTTTTGATGTGGTCTCACTATATGGCCCAAGGTAGTCTGGAACTCTCAATCCTACTTCAGGAGGAGCACAGCCACACATCATGGTATCCAACTCTACTGCTCTTCTCAGTAACCAGAACAGCTCTGCTTTTCCCACAGCCTCACTTCAAGACACCGTGTTCTGAGGGAAGGAAGCTTGACAAGGGCCAATAGCCACTCTTCCCAGTATCAGGCTCGCTCTTCTGTAGGAAAAGTGTCTAGGACAGGAAGCAATGTCTGAAAGGTACCAGTTCCTTCAAAGGTTGGCTGCATTCTTCCTCACTAAGACAGATGCCTGAACAAAGGACAAGATTCAGTCTACAGAGAAATTACATGCTCAATTACAACAGGTCTACTACAGTTTTCACTACTTTGAGCCCCATCACTCCCAGCAAAATCACCATGACAACAGCCAGTCAAAATCCACTTACCTTCTTTTGGAGCTGGAATTCTGGAGTTGACTGATCTGCGCTTTTGTTTCTGAAAAACAAAACAGCCACAATACATAGCTTTTATCAATCCTCAGGGTCTTATCATAAGCCCAGGTGCTGTAATGAGGCAATCCCAGAAAAAAAAATCAGCAAAGAGGAAACAGTGAAGTGACTCTTCAGGGACAATGTTACAGTCAGATGACAGGCACCTACTGGGGCAGTTCCATTTTCCTGCAGTGGTGGATTATCTTTCAGGTGTGAGGGAAGAAGCTGCAAGAGTTCTGGGTTTATTGCAGCCACATCATCAAAGTCAATCTGCAAGGACAAGTGAGCATTTCAGTGAAGCAAGTGTTTGATCTAAATGCATCTCTGTTACCTGGACCACTTAATTCAGGTTTTACTAACTTTTAAGTTCCATTAGAACTGATAGCTAGGCTGGATATGGTGGTGCACACCTTTAATCCCTGCACTTGGGAGGCAGAGGCAGGTGGATCTCTGTGAGTTCAAAGCCAGCCTGGTCTACATAGTAAGTTCCAGGAGAGCTTGGGTCTACAGGGAGACCTTGTCTCAAAAAGACCAAAAAAAAAAAAAGATAGCTATAAAGCAAAGTTATTCCTCAAGAAAAAACACCCAGGAATTAATAAATGAAACAGAATGAAAAGTTCATTAATGAGCTTTTTAAAAGATAGCTATAAAGCAAAGTTATTCCTCAGTAGTGGTTTACCATCTAGATGGATTGGGTTTCCAGTTTTCAAGCCAGCAGGATATTGTGAGTGATGAGAATGAGGTGAAGAGGAAGGCAGACAAGCAGGCACACAGGAGTCCACAGTAGACCTAGGCCACTTGGCTCTCCTACTGATCTGCTGGGCAGTGATGTCCTGCTGGGCACAGCCCCCTGAGCACTTCTAGCTGGCTGATAGGAGGAGGAAACAAGTTTTAACGGTCTGATAGTCAAAATGGAGGACGCTTCAGGATTTTATGAGCAGGAATAAGGTCCTGAAAGCTGCTACCTAATCCTAAATCTACCTAACATTTTCTACTGGGCCCCAAAACTTCTTCCCTAGTTACACCTTCCTGCTCATACCTTTCCTAGTTCCTGCTTATACCCACAATGAGGTCACAATTCTGGGTTTACATCACCAGAGTTCTCCAACTCTTCTTTGGTATTTTTAAGACAGGATCTCCCTGTAGCCCAGCCAGCTAGGAACTTGTTATGTAGACTAGTCTGGCTTCGAACTCAGAGATACGCCTGCCTCTGCCTCCCAAGTTCTAGGATTAAAGGCATGAACTACCATGCATGGATCAGCTTTCTTTTTTTGGTCTTTTTGAGACAGGGTATCCCTGTAGTCCCAGCTAGCCTGGAACTATGTAGACACAGGAACTCACAGGAATCCACCTGCCTCTGCCCCCCAAGTGCTGGGATTAAGGGCGTGCACCACCATACCCAGCTCTGCCTGCTTTCTTATATAATACAGAACCATCTGCCCAGAGGTGGCACTCCCCATTGGGCTGGGCTCTTTCACATCACTCAATAATCAAGAAAATACTCCACAGACATGGCCACAGGCAATTCCAATGGAGGCAATTCCCCAATTGAGGCTCCCTCTACCCAAGTGAGTCAAGTTGACACTAAAGCTATCCAGCATACACATTTTGTTTCCTCCCTGAGTTTAAACACACCCAGGTGTGCACTCAGAGGTTAGCTTGGGTGAGTGAACAAAGCTTCAAGACTCTGCCGTATGATTTTTACAGACACACCAGAAACTGTCAATTGCTTCAGTTTAGAACACACTCAACTACATGAAATCCCAGTGCATCCAAAGAGGACCATGTATAATACTGGAGAGGACAGCATAGCATCAGAACCTGGGCTCTCCGGTTTCATCCCACAGGGATCCTCTGCATGGGATGATGTTAGATGCTGGAGAAGCATTCTCATAGAGCCTACCTCTTTGCCCTTTGTAGTACTTTCTTCTGTCCACTCCACTGAAACACAGGATTTCTCCAAGTTCACAGTGCTTACAGTGGCACTGTGAATTAAGCCTATGTATGAAAAGACCAGAGGTTACCCATCTGCCTCCTGAAAGCTTCATTTTTACAATCCACTTTGCTTTTAGGATCCTAAGGAGGGAGGCTCCTTTATGTGGGAAGGGCAGCTAATCCTCTCCCACTTTAATACAAAATCGAACAGCAATAATCCTCTGGGGCTTCACCCTTAGAACGTCTCACAGTGAAGAAGTCAGGGAATTGGCCTTAAACCCACCTGCATAGGATTCATCCCCACTCAAGGCAGTCTGCAATGGGATAAAGGTACATTTGAGCAGAAGTCATTACAGTCCTGAGGAGAGCTGCTCCAGAACACAGCACTGAAGATCTGGACCTCTCCGGTTTCCCTAACTCATTTTTGACAGTCACGTCTGGCTATTCAACACGTTATTAGACCTGCAGGACTTGCTTAATGAACACATACTACTGTAGCTCCTTAAGAGCAGGAATCCTGTCTCGTTTACTTTCAACCCCAGTGCCTGACATTCTGCTACAGCACAGGTAAAATACTGGCTAGGAAACCCAGGTCCCCCTAAACAGCAGTTTGAGGGGAAGATTTAGGCAGGACGTGCATCACTGGGCCTTAACTTCCCTCAGGCGAGCTTCAAAGATGGCAGAGACGCTCCACCCACCCTGGGAGCAGGCAAGAACCCGCAAGCAGCACAGAGGTTTTACCAGAGGGTGGGAGACCCCGACCCCCTCCGTGCGTGGTGGGGAAGGGAGTCCCCAACAGACCGCAGGGCCTCACTGTTTGCGGGAGGGGCAGGCAGTTCAGCCGCCGCGCCGCTCGGGTCCCCTCGGCCTTAGCCTTAGGACGCTGCACTCACCATTACTGCGCTGGATTTTGATGGAGAGACCCGGAAACAGTCGAGCCTGAAGAGATGACTCCATGGACTTTTACCAGTCAAAGAGACGCAAAGAGCCGAGAAGGCACAACTGTACTAATGCTCTGCAATCTAAACGCCGCAAACCGCTGCAATTTAAATTCCGCGCGCCAGCGTCCCTTAACGTGACTATGATGGGACGCCCTGCAGAGCTTTGTGGGATATGTAGTCTGTAGCCCGACTTCCGCGCTTGGGGCCACCCACTTGCCTGTTGTGTCCACTAGCAAAAGATGATCAGAATTGGACTTGTTGACTTAAGTATCGCATTCTTTAATTAAAGGAGGAGAGGTAAACAGGGTCATTGGACCCTCACTTGAGTATCCAGCTGCTCTTCCCATATGGTCTCCTGGGTTTGGGGAGGACTAAAATATATAACCTGGGGAAGGCTAGGAAGAAAAGGCTTGATCCATGCTTCGTAAAAGCTTTCCAGTGTAAATACTCTCAAGTCGCCCATGCACATCAGTAACCTCTCAGTCATCTCTGTAACTAAGCTCAATAAATTTATTGGTTCCCAAAAAAAACTTTAATGTAATCAAACATTGGTTTGATACTACAACCTAAAAAGGGGAAAAACATTGCTTAATATCCCCAGGAAAAAAATTCTCACAACAGATAAAACAATTATTTATTAATGTTATTATGTCTCATGGTTATATAAAATAATAAAAGATGCTGAAAAGACATAAACATGATGATATTTTCTTAAAAAGGTTTTATATGTAAAGTTAAAAATAAAAAAGCCTAAACAAATGATGAAGGTCTACGTACGTTTATTAATGATCTATCAAGGATGAGACAAAGACAATACATAGTCTTAAAATTTCTAAGGTCATTTTTTTTTTGGTCTTTTTGAGACAGGATATCCCTATAGCCCCAGCTGGCCTGGAACTCACTATGTAGACCAGGCTGGCCTTGAACTCACAGAGATCCCCCTGCCTCTGCCTCCCAAGTGCTGGTACTACAGGCGTGTGCCACCATGTCTGGCCTAAGGTCATATTTTAATCAACTAGTTTAAGGATGTCTCATCCAGGTTTATTTAAGAATGTCTGGTTTTTGCCCAAGGTTTATCTACTTGGCACATGGTAATTAAAAGTACCAGATTGGTGTAACTAACCTTCTTGGGTGTTTAATAGCCAGAGTTTGAGGCCTATACTAATCTGGTCAGAGGGACTGAAAGGGACAATTTTTTGTTCCTTTCCCTCCAAGATCGACTAAGTTCCAGGGGACTATGGAACATCTCTTGATATGGCCTTTAACTGGTGAGTCACCTGTTCTCTTGTTCAGGGAGGCTATGGAGACCCCAAAAGATGGACTTAAACCAACCAGTGTCCAGTCTACAAAGAGGAGGGTCAACACAGAGGAAACATTTCCTCCATGCTTCCAAGTGAAGCCTGGGTCAAGCAGGACCTCTTGACTTATCTTCACGTAGATGGAACTGGTAAAAGAAAAGCCCAAGGAGCCAGGGGCTTCCCTCAAAGCCCATGTGACCCCTGAGGAACAGATCCTCAAATGACCTTAAAAGTAAAAATTGGTTTATTTGGGCCAACTGTATGGTCTTAAGCACCCAAAAGGAAAGTATAACCAAAGATTAAAGTCATCAGTATATTTTGTTAAGAGTTCAAGGAATTACACATCCCAGACATTACACTTAAATTCTTATGTTATTTAGACAATTGTCTCTCATTGATGAATTTGTTCCTAATAGGACAGTGCTACTCAGCTGTAAGACTTCAATTCTTGGTCTGCAATACTGTAGTGCCCACCTACATCTGAGGGAGACAACCCAATATTGTTCTAAAATGATGGCTAAATTTGTTTTCTCTCCCTATCTAGAGGCCTTTTAAGAGGGAGCTGATTCTAGCCACTCCAGCTGTTATCAAAGTGCCTGACAACAAATCCTGAGTTCATCAATCATCAATCCAGCCTTGGCAGGCAAAAAAAAAATGAGGACGAACCCAGTAGATGGATGATTTTGGAAGCCCTCATCAAGAAATTCCAATGGACATTTGAAATTTGCCCTATTCTGACTTTTTCTGGTTCACTGCCTAGATATTATAACACTAACTACTCTTGCCTTTACTTTTCCTTCCCATCTCCTAGGTACAAGTCAAGGACCTTCTTTTCTCCCTATAGTTAAGAGTTATGTAATTTGGGAGTCTTTTAGATAGACCCACTGAAGGGGGTACCCCAATGGCCTCACCCTGAGTCCCTGTTCAGCATGGAAGAAGCCAGAATGGTCTGCGTCCTTATTTCCTATCAGCAATTTAAGTAAACCCCTTCAGAGGGTGGTGCAATAAAAACAGGAGGTAGAAATTGGCTAGGCAGTTAGAGTAAAAAGACCATCCCCCAAAAAGTAGCCAATTTTGTTCTTGGCTAAAAGTCAAAATGTCCTTGGGCCTTTTAGCAAAGTACTCTGTCCCAAAAGCCAAAAATGTTAAAACTATTTGGGAGCTCTTAACCCTAAAAGATTTTAGGGTTACCTCTTTAGAGGAGGGAATGTTAGAGTTTCAATAAGCCCCATAAATTAAACTGGCCCCAACTATAAAATGCCTAATCTATCTGTTGGAGGACCTACTTTTCCAATCTCACTGGTCAATTCTTAGACCACCACAGAACTTTCAGACCAGCCATAGCCATGTAGGTCTCTGTAAGTCTATCTGCTTTCCTGAACTCTTCAGGAATGCATTATTTCTCCTTCATGCCTTTCTTACTAAACATGCTTTCTTTAAGGCTTTGGACTGCCCCTAGCATCTTGTACTTCTTCACCTTTTCTCTAAAACTTCCTCCTCCCAGCCATATGGCTGTGCGTCAGCCACATGTCTGACCTCCATGCAGGCTCTAAACCCGAATGGCTTCCATAATTTTCTTTCCTTCTTCTCACTGTTCACCTCCTCAAGGCAGCTGTCAAGATTACCAGCTTGCCTGCCCTGAGGATTTTTCTTTCCATGGTTTTCCAACCCCCTCCTTGGGTCCCCCACTAGCCTTATGTATCCTGCTTCTTGTGACACCTTGTTCAATTTTTCAAAGGTCACACACAGGACATCATTAAAATCACCACCAACCGAGTCCAAACTATCCCTAATACCTTCTCCAATTTTGATGACACCCACCCCTTATAAAAGACAAAGGGAGAGATGTTGGGATAAATCAAGAGTGCCTGGAATGTAGAGCATGGCCGCCAGGCTGGATACCTCCTAGTGAGGGTGGCAGAAAGCTGGCCCACTCCATTCTAGGGACACTGTCTCTTACCCAACAACCCCCAAGTAAAACCATTAAGCCTCTAATCCTTTAATCCTAACTGGATCCCTTGTAGATTATGTGACCAGAGGACAGGACAAAGGCCATGTAGCCTTAGAAGCCCCCTCCCTACCCACCTGCCTGCCCACCAGAAACCCAACCCTGCCTCTTTGCCTGTGAAGCTTTTCTATATAAACCTCTGCTTCTGCCATAATAAATGAGCTGTTCACTGACACAGTTTCCTGGATGTTTTCTTTTCATCCTACTCACTGCCGCCTGAGGCCTCCCTCCCCCCACTGATCTCTCTCCTCACCCCAACCTTCTGCTTGGGGACCAATGCACATGGTCTCCTGGCCGCAGCAGGATTCCGGCCAAGGGGAGGCTGGCAGATACCCACCAGGATGGTTGGGAAAAGTCTACAACAGTCTGGGCCTATAAATGACAAGGAAACCAATACCTTATGAAAATAAAAAGAGGTTCCCCAAGCTGTACAATTATTAAATGAAAATTCCAGTACCTGGTGTGGGTTGCCCCCCTATGAACTGTTGGCCAGGGAGGCCCTAGAGGCCCCCAAAATGATAAAGGCTCTTGCCACTAATGTTGGTTGCACACCAGAAGTAAGCCATTAAGACCCTATTGCTGAAGATGCCTTATGATGTGTGGGTGGGTGTGATGGTTTGAATGAAAATGTTCCCCATAGGCTCCAAGGATTTGGACATTCTGTTCCCAGCTGGTGGCACTGTTTTGGGAGATCTTGCAAGACTCTTGCTTCTCATGCCTGCTTGAAGGTGTAGAGCCTGCTTTCCGCACCACCTCCAGCCACCTCTGCCGCCATGCCTCTTTGCATCAATGGACTCTTGCTCCTTGGAACCATAGCTCAAATAAGCTCTTCCTTCTAGTTGACCAAAGTTGCTTTGGTCATTGTTTCTATCACAGCAACAGAAAAGTGACTAATACAGTGGGAAAGGAAGACATCAAGCTGGTCTAAACTGGAAACTCCCTGCCACCAAATAGCTAGTGGTTATAGTGTCATGAGGTGCTATGCAGAATTGCTGGGGAGAATGGTCCCAAAAGTTCTGCTTAATGATGGATCCCGTGGGGTTGGAGAGATGGCTCAGCAGTTAAGAACTGGCTGCTCTTACAGAAGACCCGGGTTCGAATCCCAGCACCAACATGGCAGCTAACAACTGTCCATAACTCCAGTTCCAGGGAATCCAACAGCTTCTTCTGTCCTCCACAGGCACTGCATGACACGGGTGCATTTACCTACATGCAGGCAATACACACATACACATAAAATAAAAATAATAAATTTAGGGCCCGGTGTGGTGGCGCTCGCCTTTAATCCCAGCACTTGGGAGGTAGAGGCAGGTGGATCTCTGTGAGTTCAAGGCCCCCCTGGTCTAAATAGTGAGTTCCAGGAAATTTGGGGCTAAAGGGGGCCCCTTTTTCAAAAAAACCAAAAAAAAAAAAAAAAAAAAAAGATGGACCCAGTGATCTGCATTATTAACATACCAAGCAAGATGTGCCAGCTGGTGCAGTAGTGGCAAGAAAAGTATATGTACAGCCGGCAAATTTCCAATTGAATTTAAGGCCCGCTCCTCAAGAAGGAACACATACCTGGTACTGCAAGCCAGATCAACCTTTGGTGACAGGTGAAGTTATAGATGCCAATGGGGAGGCCACTGCAATTGTTTTGTTAGATAGATGTGATGTACCAGTCAAGGTACCTTCCAAGCATTTGTGTTTATGCCTATAGGTTTTTTTTTTTTCTTTTTCAGACAGGGTCTCCCTGTAGTCCCAGCTGACCTGAACTCACTATATAGACCAGGCTGACCTTGAACTCACAGAGATCCACCTGCCTCTGCCTCCTGAGTGCTGGAACTAAAGGTGTGCACCACCACACCCGGCTTCATTTGTGTTTTTATAGTAGGAGGAATCCACAAAGATGGGTCAACAGTCACATCTTGGAAATAGATGAT